CTCATACAATAGGCACATAAAGGCATCTCTCCTAGCATTATATCATGCAAATTATAAGCAGATACTTAGCCCTAACTAGCATGCGATTCAAAAATTCACAAATCAAATCATATCATAAAACATGTATAGGTATTTTGGGAAAACTTACTTGAGCTCGGTCGATTGCATGCACCACACCCCTTTTCTTTTATTAGAAAACCCTTTTATAAAACATTTCTTTTTGTAAAATCTACCAAACCCTTAGTTTGAGTTTAGACACACCCGGGAGTATGTCTGAATCCCTCAAACTAAGGCTCTGATACCAACTTGTAACGTCCCAAAAATTAAGAACAAAAATTTTGATTTTTATATTAATAAAACCATTATCCATAACAATATCATAAAAACATAGTGAATCATAGTATATCAAATATCATCCAAAAACATCAGAGTCATGTAAAATGCAGATTAATGTGGTGTGTACACTGCAATCATCCTGAGCTCTTCCCTTTCGAACCAGAAGTACCTGAAACATAAACTGAAAACCATAAGCACAAAGCTTAGTGAATTTCCCAAACATACCACATACCATACATATCAAACATATAATGGGCCCCGCCTGACATCGAGCCCCGCTCGGACAGATCTGGTCATCAGACCCCACCCAGTATACATACAAACACATAAACACATGCAAAAATCACAAAGATAAATAGCACACAATATAATCATCAAGCCCCGCCCGGTAAGCATATCAGAAAACATACATGCAGAGTCACGCAGACAACTAGCTTTCTAATCATAATAAACCATGGGCCAGCATTGGTGCCTTCGACCCGCTAAACACAGTGAGGAAACTCACCTCAAGCTGCCGAATCTCTCAGATAACATCTCGGTCTGCTGATCCGGAAAATCCCTGAATCTAAACTACTTGTCCAACTTCCAGGGTAAAAGACTATTTTTACCCTTTTCTTACTTAGCCCAAAAACCTAGGCCCAACCTATCTGCTCAAAAGGCCCAAATTCCTAAATGGCATCCCAAGGCGTAATATGGCCTAATTTCCTAATTGGACCCAAAAACCAACATGGTCCTAAATCCAAGAAAGCCCATAGTCTATTCATGGCCCAAAGTCAGAAGTCTAATGGCCCAACAAGGCCCAAACCCTAAAAGTCCAAAATATGGCCCAAACTCGTCGGACGTACTCAGACTTACGCTTAGCATACTTCTTCCAATGCTAGTATGCGCAGCGTACGAGCTGGGTACGCCCCACGTACTCTGCATGTAACATCCCCCTCTGGCACGTATCACAATATTGTCCGCTTTGGGCCACTCGACACGAGGACTTCCCAGGGGGTCACCCATCTCGGTACTACTCCCACCCGATCATGCTTAACTGCAGAGTTGTTATGGGATCTGCTGCCCTCATAGCTTTAAAACGTGTTGTGACAAGGAAGGTATCCACACCCCTTTATAAGGAAATGCTTCGTTCTCCTTCCAAGCCGATGTGGGATCAGGTGCAACCCACCTTCACCCCCCCCCATTATAGGTTTCGACGTCCCCGTCAAACACATCGACCCGTGCACTGTCTCTGATACCATTTGTAACATCCTCCTCTGGCACGTATCACAATATTGTCCGCTTTGGGCCACTCGACACGAGGACTTCCCAGGGGGTCACCCATCCCGGTACTACTCCCGCCCGAGCACGCGTAACTGCAGAGTTCTTATGGGATCTGCTGCCCTCACGGCTTTAAAACGCGTTGTGACAAGGAAGGTATCCACACCCCTTTATACGGAAATGTTTCGTTCTCCTTCCTAGCCGATGTGGGATCAGGTGTAACCCACCGATGATTTGAAATGTTTGAAATAAATGGTATCAATGTTTTAGCTAAATTAAAAATGAATTTTTTACCCTTGATTTTTGGGTCATTACAAATGGTATAAGAGCTGGGGCACGGGTCGATGTGTTCGACAGGGATGTCGAACCCTATAATGGGGGGTGAAGGTGGGTTGCACCTGATCCCACATCGGCTTGAAAGGAGAACGAAACATTTCCTTATAAAGGGGTGTGGATACCTTCCTTGTCACAACGCGTTTTAAAGCTGTGAGGGCATCAGATCCCATAAGAACTCTGCAGTTAAGCGCGCTCGGGCGGGAGTAGTACCGGGATGGGTGACCCCCTGGGAAGTCCTCGTGTCGAGTGGCCCAAAGTGGACAATATTATGATACGTGCCAGAGAGGAATGTTACATTGCAGACAACCAATCCAGCACATTAAGCACTTAATTTGTTAAGCCATCATGCCAAACTCTCAGATCTGATTCTAGAAGGCGACTTAACATTTAAAGTTGGCAACTTTACTCCCATGCATGTCTTAATAAGACCCCAAACTTAAAGAGAACCATAACAAGGAACCTAACACATGCATGGACCAAAATAACTCATAAAGGTTGCATTTTTATGGACAAGGGACCTCAAATGTGCTAAGATCTTACATCCATGGCTTCTAGAGTAGACCATAATCTCATATATGGCTTAAAAGACCCAAAAATGCACAAATAACACCCTAAGTTGGATCTAGCATAAAGAACCATCAAGATGAGAGCTTTTTACCTCAAATGGCTTGCTAAGATGAAGATGAATATGGATCTACAAGCTCAAGCACTCCCAAGGAACCTCCAAGTGTTCTTCTTATTCTACTACTTCACCCAAAACACCACCACAACTCACTTTCAAGCTCAAATCTCACAAATGAAAATTAGGGTTTCGATCTTAGGGTATAGAGTGATGGAGGCTATTCAATAGAAGGTCCAAGGGTGTCTTAAGTTGTTTTAATATGGCACAAACCCTAAAAATCAGGGTTTGCCCTTGCATTACGTATACCATGCGTACTCCCACGTACGCTCCGCGTACGTGGGTGAACCCGCGATCCATCGATGAGCTAGTACGCTAAGCGTACTCATAGAGTACGCCCCGCGTACTAGCTAGGAGCTTAAATGATTGAAATTGTTACAATAAGGGTTAAAAAGGAAACATACCGAATCTCGAATGTTACAATTGTGTAGAGTTATATTTTGGCAGATGAAACATTGTCAATTGTTACAAGTTAAGTCATCATCAAATCCTAAAAAATAGCTTAGGATTAAGATACCCTCCTTATCCGAGGATGCCCAAACCAACTAATTTTAAATGTCATACAAAACAAAGAAAATAAAGAATCAGAACAAAGATGAATAGAAGACATCCACCGACTGATTGGTACTTGGATGATTCCAAAGTTTTCGATGATGAAACTCTTCCACAACTCTCTAGTTATTGTTTTTGAGTAGGATCAAGGAAGCTCTGATGGATTTACAAATCTGCTTCCTTTATCCATATTTATAAACACACATGCAAACCAAGCTACACGTCAAGGAATGATAAAAAAAAAAAAAAAAAAGAATTAGATACAATAATGCATGATAACAATAAAGAGAATGCTTTCTCAAATGGGTGTCACACCACCGGATTTTTCTATAATTATGAATGTTGTTAATTATAACTTAAGTATGGTTTTTATTTGTTATATTATATTTTTCTTGTATTTATAATTACAGAAAAATATGGATTAAAAAACACTTGAATTATCTATGGATTAGTTAATGTAGTTTTGTCGCTAATAAAGTGTATGTCGGTAAAAGCATCCACCGGTAAGTAACCCGTCATGAAATGTTTGCAAAACTTATCTTTTGGAATCTATAACAAAAATCACAAACGTTATTCAGTCGGAAATATTTCAGTATTATTATTATTATTATTATTATTATTATTTAATAATATTTATTAATAAATATTATTAAATAATAATAATAATAATAATAATAATAATAATAATAATAATAACTGGAAAATAAAAATGATGCTAAAATAAATAAATAAATAACCATAAATATGTTTATAGTTAATTTCATGCCAAAAGTATATATAGATGGTATCCACGTCTCAAAAAATTTTACAAATTAAAATATAACCCTGAAGTAAGTAAATTTACATTCATGAAACTGAAAACATATGTTGAACAAGAACTTTATAGGAATAAAAACCAACGACACTTGTCGTCACCAAGATAGACTATAATCACGACATGTCGTCGCCTTTATAACTGGCTCGGACAAATTTGACTTCTTAACCTACAACAAGGACATGTTGTCTCAACAAGTTTGGTGGGAAAGAAAATAAAGCAAACGTCATTTCTGGAAATCTATAGCGACGACTTGTCGTCACTACATGTTAGGCGGGTCCTTAAAATGATACGGCGACGACTTATTGTTGCACAGGTAGACCTATGACGACGTCGTGATTATATCAATTAATTATTTTCTTTTTAGTTTCTTAAAAATATATGCACTAAACTTTGCTGATGACATGCGTTGCTAAAAGGGTAACCTATAGCGACGACATCTTTCACAACGACAAAAGAAAGGTCTAGATGCTACATGTCATCGCAGGCATCTATATTAACTTACGACGAGACGACCTCATGGCCCCTTATTTTTGTAGTGAAAATACTAGTAAATGATTTACAGGAAGGATTAAAATGGATATTATATATAGATAATTGATTATATGTTAAAACAACATTAGCCTATGTTTAATGATATCCCATTCTAATTAAAATATACCTGTTGTAAAGAATATGTATAAAATGTTTTAAAAACATTTGCGCTAAATAACATATTTTTATATATAAGCAATGCAATATGTTAGTCACAAAATGCATTACTTCCTTCCTTATAGGTCGGAGTACCTTTTTTTTCACCTCAAAAGGACCCCAACATTTGTGAAACGAACGTTAGACTGAAATTCATTGTTGTTGTACGTAGGAGGTCATTAGATATTCTCAAACTAAAGACACGGGATACCCCATGTTAGCAAATTTAATCTTCCATCGATTACTTGGAGTAAAAGTACTATATATGTGGCACGATACATTTATTATCCAAACTTTCATCATTTCTGAACATTAATTAATCCAGATTTTGTAATGGCCAAAAAGCTCAACCTTTTCACCCTTCTTCTCCTTATATTTCTCATCTCATTATGCTTCGAGAATATAGTTCCAAGAATTGATGCTGGTAAGACTTCGCATAATGACCCTCGTCGGGGCCGGGCCCGTGGCCGTAGCCGTAGCCGTACTCGTAGCCATGGACATGGACATGGACATGGGCATGGGCATGGGCATGGACATGGACATGGACATGGTAAACAAAGTCACCATGCAATTCATCATCCGATTCCCCAGGGTGAGGGATTTAACTTCAAAGATCGGGCAGGTGGGAAATAATGTTCACATTGCTGGATCTCGTGCTAGTTAGTATGAAAACTTCAATAGCAATACGGATTTTTTTTGAAGGGCCAATAGCAATATATATGAATGTTATTGTTTGCTTCAAGTATTTTTCGTAAGCATTAGATATATAGGTACGTTTAATGCGATTTCTTGGATCAAAGATCCTCATGCTGCTAGTATTTTGTTTTGTCATTTTGCTTGGTTCGGTTGTAAGTTCATTGCCATTGATCTTGTTGTATATAAGTTCCTAAATTCTCCCTAGATTTATTTATGATATATTTCTTTTCATTGTTTCAAATACTAAGGAGGTGTTTGTCAAAAAAATAATAATAAATAAAAAAATAATAAAAAAATTTATTACTTATTAACTTATAGTTTATTAGCTTATTATATAAGCTAATAAGTTAGAAGGAGTTAAGTTATAAAAAAATGACTTATTAGCGGTTTATCACTGCAATAAGCTATTTTTATCTAAATATTTTTTAGGGCTATTTTCACCCAAATATTTTTTTAGTTTATAGTGGTGTGAAATCGCTAATAAACTAAACAAACACTCTCTAAAATAAATAGTTAAGTTTAAATGCAAATGTTGTAGTAAAATAACCTCCCTTTGTAATAACCTACACATGTTTGAAATGGAAACACAAACCAAAAGCTTTCATAATTCATTTATTTGTCGATTGTAAAGAAATCTTCTCTAATAAATGAAAGTTTTTTTACCACATGTCAATCTTTAATGAGTTTTGACACTTGTCATTTTGTGATATTTTTTAAATAAATAATATTCACATGTCAATTTATGGTTTTTTTTCAATTTTTATAATTAAAAAGTCACATAATCTTATATTTATATATGTAAAGTATCAAATGTAATAAATATTATAATAAAAAAAATTTTATTTTAAAAAATACTTATTATTTGCATTTTAATATTTTATTTTTTTTAATTAACCCGTGTAATACACGAGTTTTACACCTAGTTAGTCAATATGTAAGTATGAAACACGGAAAAGGAAATCACATGTGAAACATCCTTTATAGAAAAATATATTGGCAATATGCAAATCTATTTTCATGAGCATAATGCTAAGGGGAGTGGTAACACTCCTAACATCTTCTCACGTCATATTTTGGAGTGCCATCTTATTTTTGACAATTTAACACATAATCTTAGCATTTGATATGGAGTGGTAACACTCCTAACACTTCATTTTTTTTAATTTAATTAAATTACTTTATCTAGTTTACTCAGTTCTACCTTAACGTAAATTAAATGAAAATGTAAGATATTGGTCAAAGCATAATACAAAAATAAGGCCAAAAATAAAAAAAGGCATATTAATGTTATTTGTGGTCTACTGGTCTACGCATGGCTAACTTTAAAATTTAAGGGAAATCCTCTCTAATAAATGAAAGTTTTTTTCGCCACTTGTCACACTCTCATTCAACTTGCCAAATGTTATTTTGTAGTTATTTTGAATTAATTTTTTCCTCATGTTATTTTATGAGTTTTTATATTTTATTTAGTTCCACATAATATTTTAATTTAATAGTTGCAATAAATATAGCAATAAATGGATATCAATTTCATTAATGAACTTACCTTTCAATTTCAAAATTCTCAAAATTAAAACTCATTAATTTCTTTTATTTATTTATATTTAAAAGATAAAAAACATTTACATTATACTAATTCATTATTTTTTTAGGGAAAATGACATAAATACCCTATAAAGTTTCTAGGGTTGGTTCATTCGGTCCCTAAAGGTTTTTTGTTTCTTTATGAGGGCACAAAGTAGGTGCTCACCGGTTTAAATGGTCCTCTTCACCTATGAAAACCGGTTCCTTATGCTAACTCTGCATTTGAAGCAGATGTGTCACTCATGTCATCGTTGATGTGGTCAGACTTGTATATGTGGCTGCCTAGGTGGAAGACAAAAACCTTAGGTGAGATTCAAGAACAAAAACCCACCAGATTCAAGAACAAGAACCCAGATCTCCCACCTCTGCCACCATCCATCTTCCACCAACCCGATTTGTTGACATGGGTGAATGATAGAAAATTGTGATGAACATCAATGAAACAAAATATAGAAAAAAGAAGATGTATTTGTTGTTTTGAATCTGAAATCGAAACCTAAAAAAAGTTCAAAACCAGAACTCATATGTGTTCGTTTTCTAGATCTTTATACCATGTGTTTGTCGATCTGGGCATGGTTCACCTTCCATTTTTTTCTAAAACCCCTAAACCGAACCCTAGAAAATAAAATGGAACGATTTTTGTCTTAGATTTGAATCATCATCTTTGAAACCCCTTACGAATCCTCTTTCATATCTTGCATTTGGGTTCGATTCAAACATATATCTTCAAAGTTAGATGAAGTAGTTGAAAGCTTCAAAAAAAACCCAGAAAAAGAAGAACTGATGACTGGATACACAAATCGAACCCATAATCCCTTGATGGATTCCACCATGAAAGCAATATAGAGAGAGGTTTATTACCCCTGGGTTGTGCCAAAATTGCATCTGACCACCCTCCAAAATTACATATCGACCACCCAGAGCAACTCTCGGTGAATCACCTCCCCTCACTCCATGGATTCACAACCCGGTCACCTCACCATCGCCACCAACGTCGCCGCCGTCGCCCACACACTTCTTCTCCTCATCCAAGATGATCCCAACAATCCCTGTTCCAAAATTGAAGCCGCTAACGAAATCCGGCGACTCATCAAGACTTCCCCAGAGGTGTTGTCGACATTTCCCTGCTGATAATATGCTAAAAACTTAAAAATCCTTTGTACATCTGTATGTACATAAAGAAAATATTAAATCTCTGCAGTTTTCTTTTGATTTCTTACAAATGGATCATTAAATTAGTTGTTGTTCTAACCTGATTTGAAGGCACCTGAGCCAAATCATTTTAATCCTTGCATCGTAATGTTAATGGATAGAAATAGCTTTTTTTAAAGTGTGTGGTTTGTATTTTGGGTTTTCATACAACTGCAATGAAATGGAATCACAATCGGAGGAGGTGGGTCAATGTGGGTGAAGGTGGGTCAAGGAAAGTGGGGTCCATAAGTGTGTGTGGCAAGCTTATGTGGCTTTTTTAAATGAAGTGGAAAAAGTGTGACCGGCTTACCCCTTCAAAACTTCAAAAAGGACGTAATCGACCCGACAAAAATAAGTTTGTTCCCTCATAAAGCCATTAAAAAAGTTAAGTGACTAAAAGGGTAAACCCTAGAAAGTTCATAGGTCGTATGTGTCATTTTCCCTTTTTTTTATTTTCTTATAAATTCAAAGTTCTCAAATATTTTGATCTTTATATTTAATTTTTTTTTAAAATTAACCCATCTAATACATGGACTAGTAAATTAATATAAAGCTAAACTAAAAGGAAAAAAAACAAGGATAAACAAGTGTGTGAGGATAAATAATGGAACTCTTTTCTCTCTATCTACTCTTCATTGTTTCCTCTCTGTACAATCATTTTCTTCCTCTTACGCACAACCACCGCCTCACGAAGGAAAATCCGTCTGCCACCGGGAAGCATCGGTTTACCTTTAATCGGCGAAACATTCCAACTCATATCTACATACAAGACGGAAAATCCAGAACCGCTTATCGACGTTCGAACCAATCACATTCGTTTCTCACTTTCTCTCTCTTCTCGCCAACACAATGACGAGTCTCCGGTGGCGAGCCCCCTAGCGAGCGCTAGAGGCGGTGTTCCAAGTTGCTTAGCGAGTTTGGATAGGGTATTTGGCGAGCCACTCCACTTAGCCTAATGAATCATAACCACAACAAACCCATTAAACCCACTCTCAAGGATTTACATCATAATATACATGAACTTTGTACACTGGTTCAAGATTTACCGCAAAAAAGATATGCACTTCAGTTATCTTCATTACCTACCCTATACACCCCAATTTGTTTTTTATTAAAAAACTAGTTTCTCTATGTTACACTTATACAAACCGGATCCAAATAAAACGTTCATCTCATTAGCAATCAAATCCAATCCAAACCAACTTTTAACTAAAAACATATATAAAAATTATATCAATATTTAACTTATTTTATAGAGATAAAATATGATTATTTATGAAATTAGTTTTTGATTATAAATATTAATGTAATACCGGCATATAATAATGGACACTTGGGTAGATAAATGGGTCACGAAACAAAAGAGCCACCTTGTGGGTGGTGAGCGGATCATTATGGTTCTTCTATTTTCTACTTTTTTTTTAATAAATAAGTGGTGAACGGTGAAACACTCAATGGGGATAGTTTTCTACGAAGGATGAATAGTCTAACTTAGGTAGAGTTTGTTACATACGACGATTGAACTAAACAACACAAGACTATGTTGATTTCGATATAATGTTTGATCAATGAGGGTTACCAAATTTGAATTTCAAATTCCGTCCATATTCCAAGTTTGTGTTTGTGTCATGTTCTTACAAAGTGTAAAAAACACAAAGTCGTGTCATGTCGTGTTCGTATTCAAATTTCGACACAAAGTTGACACGGTATTAAGATATGTTTGTTGTCCTTAAAATAAATTAATAGTTTGTTTTTTCGTGTTTTTTGTATTAGTAAAATGAAATACAATATTGTGTCGTGTTGTGTTCATGTTATATAAAAAAACTATTGTGTCGTGTCAGCTAAAAACACGACACCCCGACACGAGTGACCAATTAAAAAAATGATTGTTATCATGTTTAGGGTTATTGTATTCAATAAGGGGTTGGTTGTAATAGTTGTATTATACAATTTTGAAGAGATGAAATCAGGTATTGTTAATTATAAGAGTATAATTTGAAAATAAAATTAGAGTTTAATGGTCAATAACGTACACAAAAATATCAAATGTGAACAAAAGTGATAATTGGTTATTCTGGACATTAACCTATTACAACCGGTTATAAATGTATATTTTAAATACAGAATAAAAGTTTAATGGTTAATAGTGTAAAAAATGATCA